TATATATATATATATATATATATATATATATATATGATGAAAACTTGATTTTTGAAAATCGGGTTGAGACAAATAACTTCCCGATTTTTTGAAAATCATTGATTTTCCTAGCAGAAAGTTAAAAGTGAAAGGAGTACAGAAATTCTCAAAGATAAATAATTATATGAAGCAGCAAAACTTATCTTTACTTCATAAAAAAGTAAGAAATTTTAAAAATACTGTGCATCAATTTCATTGATTACAGAATAAATAAATTAAAAGTATATATTTATTTTTATTTTATGAATAGTGTGAAATATACAAGTTACGAATAATCATAATAAATAAAATGCTTCAAAGTGTAAAAGTATTTGTTTTTTATTATACAGAAACGGTCTTGCAATATTTAAATACATTGACGCACAAAAACTGTAGCTTACTGCGCTAAAGTGTTTTTACACTCGATAAATCCGTGTAATTTTATAGAATATTAACGTATAAATTTTCTGATTTAAATAATCACTTGGGAATAAAGTTAAAGTTATATTTTAAAACATGTTCCGTATAAATAAACAAGCGTATACTTATGATTATTATTAATGATATATGGCAGTATGGTTGTCGCAGTAAGCAATTAGTCCTTGAAATATGAATAAATTGTTATACTGTCAGTGCGAACTGAGCTCGATCTATTTTCCATTAATTAATATATTTCATCAATTAATCTTTCTTTTATGTATACAATTCAATGACTCTCGTGAAGTAAGTTTCTGAGGAGGATTCTCGTCGATTATTAATTAATTTATTACTACTTCAGCTGAATCATTGTTATAATAATCGTGAACAAATATAGTATAATTATTTCACTTGTTAAAGTTAAGTTTTTTCCTTGTTTGAGTATTAGTGGTATTGTCAATACCGATGTGATAAGTTATCATAGATTAAAGTTTTCTTCGCTAAATTTGTTTACTTTTTTCAATACTATGAATGTTTTATACTCGAATTGCAATAAATTTATCACAAAAGTGCATTTATAGGGTGCAATAAAAGTCATTTTTAAGATCTGAAACTTTTTCTGTGTTTGTCCTAGAATTCTATGTTACTCATACTTCACATAATATAATTTTAAATATGAGATGAAAAGATAAAAAAAGATTTACGTTAGTATCAGTTATCTTGTGAATATTTTTTTAACATAAACATTACAAAGCCCTAAGGTTTTTAATTTTTATTTAATGATACAACTTAAGATTTAATAATTAAATGATATGATTGATTGATTGATTGATTGATTGATTCGTTAAATCTTACAAATAGGATTATCTCAATTGTTGAAGAGATAAATTAATATGAAGTTTATGGACACAATATTAAATATTGTGCGCATGATTAAAACACCACTAGCGAGTTCTGTCCTTGGGATAGTCAGGCAACATGTAATACTTACCTTTAACAAATGAAGAAAATATCTTTATTTGTTTTACTATTGCAGTTTGAACAGTTACCGCCCAGCGTTGAGAGTGACAAGATCATTACGTACCATATTAGTTCATAATCTGATAATAAATGTTATGTTTGGAAATATATTTTCAAAGAATTAATCATAAACATAACATAAAGTTTGTTTATAAAAGTATAGTCAGGTGATATATTTTATTTTTTTAAAAATGAAAAATCCTAAATCACAGCGAGGTACAACGGAGATATTTGTACTTTCTGAAAGGCCGCAATCTGATATAAACCAAGAAGTGAGTTTTCAAAATATTACTGATTTAAAAAAAAATATTAATATAAGTTTGCTATTTCAGTCAGAGGTTCGCAGCTATTATGAAGTTTTTAAAACTTTGTTGATTTACTTAATACTGCAAAAACATATATTGCTACTACATTTAATGAGCACACGTGTTTAAACGCAAATAAAAAATGAATTTTCTAAATTTAGAAGAAAAACTATTTGGAGTTTAAAATAAAAGTATATTTCCATTTGAAAAGTTTTTTAAAAGGATCAAATGAAAGTATCATTTTTATAAATTTTTTTTTAAAAACTTTAAATAGCTGTTGTTGTAAAATTATGTGAATGATTTTGCTGATCGCTTTTAACTTAGTTGTGAATATTGCCCAACGAATAAATACTTCAAATTTCATTAACATCTGGTTGAAAATTGTAATCACTATCATCACAAGATGTGTTTAATAATGTATATTCATATAATATTAAATAGATATGAAGAATTTTCCATGTAAAATCGAACAATTTGAATTTAATTTTTCAATTTTTTTTCAACCAGAAGTGAGTTATAAATTATACTTATAAACAAAAATTTTATTTAATCTATATCTATATAATGATATTATAAAGAGGAAAGATTTGATTGTTTGTTTGTTTGTTTGCATCGAATAGGCTCCGAAACTACTGAACCGATTTGAAAAATTTTTTCACTGTTGGGAAGCTACACTATCCCCGGATGACATAGGCTATATTATATTATGATTGATTTTGAAATTTTATTAAATACCCGTACGAAACGGGGGCGAACTGCTAGTTTTTTATAAAGCTTGTCATTTTATCAAAAACTAGCAGTCCGCCCCGGCTTCGCACGGGTATTTAACAAAAATTTCAACATTAATTAGCTTCCCAACAGTGAAAGAATTTTTCAAATCGGTTCAGTAGTTTCGGAGTCTATTTAATGCAAACAAACAAACAAACAAACAAACAATCAAATATTTCCTCTTTATAATATTAGTATAGATTAGTATTAGTATAGAAGTATATGATTAATATTTCTAATTTTTTTGTATTACTGGCCTTAAAAAAATTTAGTTTTTTTTTATAGTCACTTTTTGAAAGTGACTGACATAAACAAATTGTTTAATTGAAAACTACAGAAATTATTCTGGTAAATATTGTAGATTCTTTAATCATTTAGGTTTTAATGCATTAAGAGGTTACACACACTTAAGAGATGAAAAAAAAATTACTTTTTTTTTGGGGGGGGGGGGGAATTTCTCTAAAAAGATCTTTCAGTTTGTTAACGTTAAAATTTATAAACATATTATGACAATTTTTAACTCAATTAAACAATATTTTAGTGATCCTACCAGAAATATTTCAAATTTTTCTTTAAGGAAGTACGAGCACCAAGGCAAATTTTGATAAAAGGATTGATTTTTAACTTCCCGCTAAGAAAATTGAAAATTTTCAAAAATCGGCAAGTTATTGGTTTTACCCCGTTTTGAGAAAATCGAGTTTTCATCAGATCTCGACGTTTTAAGGTCACAGGAAGCTTCCCTGACTCTTCCCGCGATGGCGTCCGTGCGGCTGTATGTTTTTTTTTTTTTTTTTTTTTTACCTTTACGGGGGGGGAATCCTTTTTTACGGA